GGGGTCCAGCTTGCAGATGGAGCCAGCCTGCCACTGTCAGGGTGTACACACGGCGCCGTCCGTACGGGCAGTTGGCCGCCCTGCGGAAATCTGGAAAAATGTAGCTGATTTTGGAGTGACAAATTCTGTTCATAAAATGTGCATTTTAATGTACGCCAGGTGCGAATCTCGAGGTACCCCTCCTTTCTTTTCATGTGGCTGCTTTTAACTGGCCGTCCGTACGGCCGCTTGGGTCCAGCGTGCGGTTTAAAGCACGCACACAAGACGCCCTTTCGTGAAGCAGCTCAAAACTTTAGAAGCCGTTTACGGTCCGGACCCTAGGCTTTAGGGTAATAAAGTTTCTAGAGAACTATTACACGCTGGAAGCGTAATGCACCCTCCGAAGTGAAAGAATGCGGGTACGGAGCACGAAGCTAACTCTTCGCGCTCAGCTGCTGGAGCAAGCATCCGTTCTTGAAACGGATGCCGGTGCTCAGCGCACGTGCGCTGGCGATGCCATAGGCTCCTAGACGTCGCGACAGGCATCACCAGCTTTAAGTTTAGGGTTTAGGGTTCAGGGTTTAGGGTTTAGGGATTGTTTTTTTACGTGTGCAATGACTCTTTCTCCAAAGCTGCCAGCAAAGCCTCGGGTTTAGGGTTTAGGGTTTAAGGGGTAGCTTCGGCTCAACTAAACCCTAAAACTTATGACCCTGCTGGCTACTCCTTGGTTGTGGGGCTTGGGGGAGCTATGGGGTGTGGAGTTTAGGGTTGGGAAGTTTAGGGTTTTGCATTTTGGGTTTCGTGCATCGGCTTAGAGTTCGACTGTAGCACTGATAATACAGATTCAAACATTTGCTCCCCAAACTAATAACCCCTTTTGTGAATCCCGCACGCAACTTAGGATTCGATATTTTGGGGCGAGAGTCCGTTGGCATCGTGCACGTCTGGCGAGGCACCCCGATGAACCAGCCACCTGGCTTTCTCCGACAAACGTTCAACAATCCAATGTAGAGGCCTAAAAAATGAGAACAAGGCATCGGAGATTATATGGTGAGTACATTGGTATACTACTCCTATTTATTCCGAACCCTACACTACACCTTGAACCTTGAGCCCAAAACCCTCAAAGATAAAACTTGACTTAGCTAATCTGGAGGGCTTCGCTGAACTGTCCCATCCAACTTGCAAGGAGCCTAAACAGGGCGCCGGATTGCAGCATTACTTTCTCATTTGTGCAAAAGAACAATCTCGCGACTCCGTGACAAACATCGGAACCCCACGGACGGAGCGGGTTTGGAGCTTAAGGAGTATGGGATTTGAAGCTCCAGGGCTTCGGGTTGGGCAGAAAACCCAAGCCCTAAACCCTACACTCTAACTATAGGGTTGAGGGTTTAAGCTTGAGGGTCGGGGGTTCAAGCCCTCATCCGAACTGGACACCAGCAGCTCTTCTTCTCCGGTTCAATAACAGGCCTATCTCTCCTTCGATCTTTGCATATGTACACACGGCACATATGCCAGACAGACCTACAAACCTGCATGGCTCTGTAATATAATAGCATAGCACAATATGACATGACATGACATGAAGTGACATGACATGGCATGGCACGACATGACAATATACAATATGTGCATATATGTCCATATATATATACACACATACATATCGCACTGTACACATATACTACATGTTACATCTGATATGTGTGCATCTACATAACTTGAATTTACTTAGTGTGCATACATACATATACATATACGTCTATGTGCACTGCATAGAAATCTACAACATATTGCCTTATGTTGCTCGTGAATGCCGCGCCCTGGACATCCACAGGGCATACTACCCCGACTAAAACCGAACAGAACAAGTGAAACGCTAAACCCAACGAACCTCGGCCTGCTCCAAAACCCACATCCTTGGTTTAAAGTAAAAGCCGGAAAGTTGGAATATCATTATCGTAGCCCCTTTTGGGTAAATTATAGGGGATCCTACCATTAATCCATATTCCAACTTTCTGGAGTTCCCTTTATGGTTTTTTTGAAGTTGAGTTGACTTTTACGTCTGCCCACAGTCGGCTCTCAACTACAGTCGAACATCTCCAGGTTCATCACGATCATGAAGTTCACCCCTGACACCATAATCACATCCTTCACCATCTTCTGTTTATGGTTTAGGGTTTAGGGTTTAGGGGTTTAGGGTTTAGGCCCCTGAACCAAAACCCTAAAACCCCGAAGCCCCTGAACCCTAAACCGGAACCCACCCAAGAGTCGTTTCTTGAGGGTCAGAGTTCCCTGAACCGTCGACCTCGCAGACCCACGGGAGGATCTGGAAAGTAGATCCCATAATTTGGGGTCCGATACTACTAAGGGTACTTTATAGGAATCCCTTTTTGGATCCTCCCTTCACGTGGGTGCCCTGAAATCCCTGAAAATGCATGACTGAAGCGCCTGACGGCTACGAGGCAGGACGTCGCCGAAAATTGGAGGAGATTCCGATCGGCGCCTGAGCACCCACTGCTGCAGCCCCCAGGGTTCAGGGGCGGGGGTCAAGCCTTGGGGTTTTGGGCTTCAAGGCTTGTGGTTTATGGTTTGGGGTTTAGGGTTTGGGGTTCCCGTTCGGGACTTTGCCGGCCAATCAATGACGGCGTGAAGTGTGACTAACGAGGACTGGGACTACGTTTTACGGCTGAGCTTTGGCACGTTTTGCCACTCTGCACTATCGTTCAAATCAGCAAAGAAAGAGTGCCAGCACCGGATCTCTTTAAAGGAGCTGATCGGGGTCCCATTTTAGCATCTTCGGGGCAAGGAAGCATTCATGACAAGGTCTCGACGGGTCCTTACCCCTAAACCCTAAACCCTAATCCTTGGCGCAGCGTCCTACATCGACTCCACTGCCCTGAAAGTAAGTCCCTAAACCAGAGACTCTAATATCCCTTAAGTAAGGAATATACCTTAAACTATAGTAGGACCCTTAATATGATTTAGTGTATATTCCTTAATTAAGGGATGTTGGAGTCTCTGGGAAACCTTACCCCTAAACCCTACCCGAAGCCACAACCCATCCCATGAATCTTGACCTCCTCAGTCGCAGGCCTTACACAACAAGATCCGCAACCCTCATTGATAAGTTCTTGAGCCCCTACATCCCGAGAAAGTCTGAATCACAAACAGAAGCGTAAAGAATCGCAAAGAGCTACACTGTAATTTAAGAGGCCCTGGCCCTAGACCCTAAGCCCGAAAAACCCTGAAGTCGTAAACCCTACAAATCGAACATCGAGCCGCCCCAAAACCCGAACCTGCACCCTGAATCCTAAACCCCCTAACAAGCATCGTGAATCGAAACGTAAAAGGATCCCTCAAAGAGTCATTGTGCCTAAAGCCGAGAAACCCTAAAACCGCATCTGTAAAAATTCTTCCCAGCCCCTGCGCCCTAAAACTCAAACCCCCATTCCACAACACCGAAACCCTACACCCCAAATCCTAACTCCACATTCGGGAATGCGGGCTCTTCTTCTTTGAGCCCCTTTTTGCGCCTGCACCCCCTGCTTCCAGAGCCTACAGGTTTAGGGTCCTAAACCCGAAACCCCTAAGCAGTGACCAGAGGGAGACGCCAGCTTCCCTGTGCCACCAATAGAACCATAATAAAGATACGATGTTCAACAGTCTCTTGGGTCTTGTATGCTTGAAGGATCATGGGTAATTATAAGTGGGGCTCTAAGTAGGATAACTAGAGTCATAACCCATATTCAGGGACTTCTAACCCCAACTTTTGACCTAAATCCTACACCCTCATAAAATCCCTACAGATCCCTTTAAAAGGGCCCTTAAAGCCTCATAGAATCCCTATAGATCCCTTTAAAGGGGCCCTTAAAGGAACCCTCAGATGAGACGGAAGTTCCCTGAACCAACCGACTTCCCCAAGAGCCCGGCGGCCAAGGCCCCTCAGGGTCTCCTGCACCACTTCAGGGCTCTTAGAGTTTAGGGTTTAGGGTTTAGGGTGTAGGGTTCAGGGTTTAGGGTTTAGGGTGTAGGGTTTAGGGTGTAGGGTTCAGGGTTTAGGGTTTGGGGTTTCAGGGCTCAAAGAGTTTACTTGATCCGATGCTATACACCAAGGGTGTAGGGTTTTCAGGGTGTTCTTGCTTTGTCTTTAGGTTTAGGTTGTTTTAGGGTTTACTTGATCTGATGCTATACACCAAATCGGGAGGGCTTCTTAAAGGGTCCTTTTAAAGGGATCTATAGGCAATCTATAAGGGTATAGGGTTTAGGGTTTACTTGGAGGTTCATGGGGGAGTTATAAGTGGGGGGTGATAAGTAGTGACTGTAGTTATAACCCATATTAGAGGACTTGTAACCCTACTTGTAACTACCCATGAACCTCCAAGCACTTCAGGGCTCAAAGAGTTTAGGGTTAAGGGTGTTTATTGCTTTGTCATTAGGTTTAGGTGGTTCTGAGGGTTTAGGAGTTTAAGGCTTAGGATTCAAGGGTCGGCTTAGGGATGAGGCTCATGAAAGGCTTTTTGGTGGCTTTATATGGGTTTCACCTATTTCTATGCGCGTTTGGAGTTGAGGATTTCGGGCTTGGGGGTTCTGCGCAGCCCTCAACCGATATGGCCAAAACCCAAAGCCCGCGAACCACAAAGATTGAGACATAAACTCGTGTCATGTCCTGATGCCCTAAGTCATTTGCAGACGTCGTCTGCTGGAGTCCGACGTCGAAATGGTTGAGCGTAGGATGCACCGCATCGGGAACCACTTGAGATCTCCCAGCCTAAACCCTAAATCCTAAACCCTAAACCCGAAACCCTAAACCTGCAAGAGTTCAGCTCAGTCGTGCGTGTGGACAGACATGTGCAGTGTAAATGACAAAGTCTTCCGAAAGTAGAGCAGAGTGCCAAACATGTACAACCGACGGCATGGCTCAAGTGCGTGAAAAAGACGCCTCAATTCGATCGAGGTAGTGGTTGCGACGTTCCTTTCGGGGTTCATGGAGGCTGCTACTTCAGGGGATTCCGTTCGTGATGAGGACCCCTTCAGAGACCTTCCTGCTGAGTATCAGCAGGTGATGAGCCCAAGTGGGCCAGCTGCGCAGGATAGCGGTCCCGTGGCAGGAACTCAGAGGCCGAATGGTGTTATGCCGGCGGCTACGAGGACTCCTGCAGATGACGCTGCGTATCAGAGGGCTTTAGAAGCTGCTATTTCGGGTGCTTCGGAACCTCAGCCTGGTAGTGTATCTGGCGTGCGAGAGGGCAGAGAAGCAGCGACTGGAGGGTCAACCGGAACGGTAACTTCGGAGGTGCCAAGAGCCTCGGGTTTTTCTGGTACAGGCGGTGAAGCTTCAGTGATAGATCATGGTGCTCATGCAGGAAGGAGAATGTCACGGACAGGCCATGAGATGTTTGCTTCGCCAGTTTCCCAACATGGTGCTCCACAGGATGCGCCCTTGTTTCCTCACGCCCAGGCGCCAGCATCGACGTCAGTGGGGGCGACTTCGGGGAACTTGTTCCTTCCGTCGCCGTTCCCGTCACCAACAGCGCAGGCCGTGATGCAGTCAGAGGGTTCGCCGAGTTTCAATTTGGTACAATCGGGAGCAGCGGCTATGAGATGGGTTGCTAAGCTGGGAGAGTTTGTGCAGCGAAGGGCAGCCTTCGTCACTCAGACGCCTCCTGGTGAACAAACCACCCTAGTGCAAGAGACGGTTTGGTCACCAACCTCTGCTCAGGCAAGTGTCAATCGAGAAGAAGAGCCGTTGTTTGATAGGGCCCAGGTGAGACGTATGCAAGAGATGACAGCAGGGGCTCCCCAGCTGTAGGGAACAATGCACCGTACAGGTGGAGGGTCTGATTCGTCTGCTTCGTTCACCAAGGAGCAGTTGGAACAAGAAGTGAAGCGCCAGGTGGACCAGGCGATGCAACGACAGCGAGGAGTAGCAGATGAAAATGTGCAGCTACGTGCAGAGATCGAACGGCTTCAGCGTGAAGCCGAGGCGACAAGGGTTCAAGCTGGAATGCTACCGGTACGGGCTCCTCTCGGTGATCGGGGTGCTCAGGTCGGGCGAGGCGGTGACGGTTTAGGTTATCAAGGAAGCAATCCAGCAGGACTTTCGGAACGTGATCGTGAACAAGGGGGTCATGTTCGTATGAGTGTTCAGGACGGGATGTTGAGGGGAACTCCTGAGGGGCCAAAGGGTCGAAGCAGTGATGGGCTGGTGAGTGAGGCTACGCGACTGCAGGTCGGCTCAGACGGAAACCCTTCGGGACTCTTTGTGCACAGTCTTGGACAGGATCAGCGTGTTCATGGTACCGCACCAGGCGGCAATCTTGGAGGACCCCAAGCGCATGATGGAGAGCAAGGCAGTGAAGGGTTTTTGGGTCTTCGTGGAGTACTTCGGGGCAATCCACCAGGACTTTCTGGACGTGATCGTGAACAAGGGGGCGTGGGACGGGCAAGGAGCCAGAGCCCCCCAAAGAGCAGAGTTCTTGGTTTGTCGGAGCGTTATGGGGGCTCTGAGGGCCAAGCGATAGGTGAACCACCAGGTCTTGGGCGCGATGCTGCGGTGAGCGGTGGCGATCACGGCAAGGGTGGCGATGGTAGAGTAGATCGAGATGTTCCTGGAGGCAATCCAGCAGGACTTTCGGGACGTGATCGTGAACAAGGGGGTGTTTTTATGCCGTATGCGTCGGACATCTCTGGTGGTCGTGTGCAGTTTCAGCCGTATGCGTCGGACATCTCTGGTGGGCCAAGTGGAACCACAGGTACCAGAATGGGACATGAACCTGCGCAGCCGGCGACCACGGGACCGCCTCAGAATCCGATGGAGGCGCTGGCGCAGGGCATAGCTCAGCTGCAGACAGCGATGGCAATGCAGTTGGGAATGAGCGCGACAAAGCCTCAGGCGATCCGGCCGGGCACGTCGCAAGTTGGAGGAGGCTGATGAGATGGCGGCGATCAACGTGGCGGATTGGCTTCACGGCTTGAGCGGGCCGATGGGCGACCTAACGGACGGGAGTGCTCAGTGGTGGGCCCAGGTGGTCTCCAGTCTGGAGTCGTACTACCACGACTACATCAATGCCACAGCGGTCAAGAAGTTGCAGATGCGAGCGGACGACTACGCCAGCTCTATGTTGAAGGAGGCCAGATGGTTGAGAGTGGACAAGCGGGTGGCGTCGATGCTTCTTCAGGCGGTCCCCGATGCCATTCGAACCGAGATCCTGGCGAACAGGCTCCAGTCGACGCTGGCAATCTTGGCGCGGATCATGACGATCTATCGCCCGGGCTCGGCGGTGGAAAGGCAGCAGGTGCTCAAAGCACTTGAAGCACCGGGCCCAGTGGGTTCGCCTATGGAGTTGGTGGAATGCCTAAGGAAGTGGGCGAGGTGGCTGAAAAGAGCACAGGACCTTGTGCTTCAGGTGCCGGACCCTTCGATTCTCTTAAAGGGCCTGGATCAGTCGGCAAAGGCGCAGCTGGAAAAGAACCAGGAAGTGATGTTCCGTTCGAACATGCTGAGATACAGCTTGGAGCTAGACGCAAGGCCGACCCTGGCGTCTGTTACAACATATCACTCTCACTTGCTGGGAGAGTTTGAGCAGATCGCATATCGTGGGCGGTCGCGGGCCGGACCTACATCGACTCCAACTATCAAGGCTATGGGTTCCGGTGGGAATGATGGTGCCGCTACGTCGCCGAAGGGGGCCCCTTCGCCAACTTCGACGTCCTCTACTACCGCCAAGCCGTGTAAGTTCTTTGTGTCGGAGGCTGGGTGCCAGCGCGGGAACTGCAAGTTCAGCCATGACTGGGCTAGCATACCACGAGAGGAAAGAAATGAACGCTGCAAGGCTTGTGGAGCTAAAGGACACATGCGGAAGAACTGCCCGGTGAAAGCGAGTGCTACAGATCCTCCTCGTCGTGACGATGGGAAGGGTGGACAGCCGCGGTTGCGACCAATGGGCAAGGGCGGAGACGGAAAACGTGATGATGGCACAGTTCCACCTTCATCCTCTACTACCACTTCGGCTCCTACAACTACAACGGGTCCACCAACATCAGCGGCGGCGTCTATGAGTGGATCGTTGGATTCTGCGTCTTCGGCGTCTGGAGGACCTTCGGTGAGTGAGGCTGGCGGGGCTCCGAGGGACGTAGATGATTTTCTACGGAATGCTACGCAGATCCTGAAAATGATGACGGAGCAGCAGAATGCGGCGAGACCTAGTCCTTCCCTCAAGATGCTGAAGAAGGCCATTCTGAAGTATGAGGACAAGATGGCTTTGGTGGACTCGGGGGCAACGCACCCACTCAAGATTGCCTCGGCAGTGGAGTGGGAGTGCTCTCCAGAGGTGGATGTGGTGGTCGCGGGAGACGAAGTGAAGAGGATGCGACAGAACAAGGCGGGCACTCTTTTGTTGGAGCCGTCTACGGAGCGATCCCAAACGATTGTTCCCGTGGGAAATCTCATTGGGATCCTCGGCTACGAGATGGTTTGGTCGAGGAGGAAGTGTTTTCTTCGATCACCTGAAGGAAAAGAGTTGCCGATGAAGATCGCCTCGGGGTGCCCCGAGGTCAACGAGGCCACGGCGCTGGAACTTATCGCCAAGATCGAGGAGGAGAAGTTGCGGGAGTTCGAGTGCAAGGCCGAGAGCACCAAGAATGCGATGATGCGAGCCCGAGACCTTCAGCAGGACCCGATGTGGGAAAAGAGTATGAAGGCCTATGTTACGGAAGGGAAGTTCGATGATGGTTTCAGGGCATTGGCGTCGGCACCTTGGGCCGCGGAGCACTTGAGGCTGGAACTCTCCAAGGTGGCTTCGGACCTTCCGAAGTCGGAGGGTGAAGCGTGGCAACTCATGCAGCAGCTGGGCTTCAACAGGAGGATGCGGAAGCGAATGATGAACAAGGACTGGATTGTCAAGCTGTGCAGTGGAAGGCGTTCTACTGTGGATAAGGTGTTCAAGGTGCTGGAAAGCAATGGGACCATGGTGCTGGACATTGACTTTCAACGACTACCACAGCTAGATCTTCTCAAGGCGGGCCCTGGCGTGATGATGATGTTGTTATGGGGGGCGGCTACCGGAAGAGTGGCGGCGGTGGTTGGAGGTTTGCCAAAGCACAATGCGGAGGACCATGTGGTGCGAGCGGTGTCACTATACGAGGTGGCTACAGCCGGAAGAAAGGAAATGCGCGAAGCGATAGACATTCCCTTTGATGGTGTGGCGTTTTCCTTGTGGGCTTCGGCGGCTTCAGAGGAGGATGAGAGCTCTACTACGTGGGACTTGGCCTGGTTCCGGAGGTGGGTTGCTGAGGGCCATATGAACATCATGCACTTCGACCAAGGAGGTTTGGGACATCCTCTACGACGACCGACCTCTATGGCAACGAACCTGGATGTGGTGGAGCTAAAGGGCATTCAGGATCAACGAGTACATGAAGAGTGCGAAAAAGGGCCGTGGTCATCATGGGCACCAATGTTGGCGCGCATATTGGCAAGAGGTTTAAAACGATGGAAATTGCGCCCTGGTTGGTACCCTCGTCTTGTGAAGGCGCTCAAGGCGGTGGACCGAAGGAGCTGGGAGCAGCATTTGTCCAATGATCATCTACCCTACCGACCTGATTGTCTTCAATGCATCCATAACGCAACGGGCAGGCCTCATAGAAAATGTCTGCATCGGGACTGCTACGTGATGAGTGCAGATACTTTGGGTCCGGTGAGAGTTGCGGGTCCAAAGGGCGAGCGGTTTGCTGTTGTCTTCACCTATCAGTTTCCCAAGCAGAAGATGGTGGCGGAGGATCATCTCTTACCAGAGGAGGAGCTGGATGGGTGGAACTTGGGTGCGAAGGGAAAGATGACAACAGCAGTCGGCGAGGAGGAGCTGGACTACTCACCGGATGAAGGTGAGGACCCGGAACTTTCTCCAGGTGAACTTGATGAACTACGACGTGTGCAACAACAACGGCCAGGTGAGGAGGAGGAGTCCGAGGTGGTTCCCATGGTCGAAAAGTTGAAGGCGAAGGCAAAGGAGTCCTCCGAGGATTGGTGGGAGTTCCGGGAAACCGCAGGGGTGTTGATCAGGCACCACGTTACCCCCAGAACTACGTTGTTCAGGCCTACGTCATGGAATGGTTGTCCAGTCCACCCTGGAAGGCTTGACTATACGCGGGTGACCGAGGTCCAGTATGCAGGAGGCGGTGTTGAAACTGAGACGTCGGACTGGCACGGAACCAAGTCAGGAGCCCGGGCACTGGAGCGCGAGTGGACGGGAAGAACAACGTTCAGGATATCTACGGCGGAGATCCCCGAGGAGGAGGACGAGCTTAAGAAGGATGAGGAGACGTGGGAAAAACTGATCGGCGACATCACGAAGCCAGTGGAAATGGACACGATCTACATGGTGTACCCGGTGCGCTCGAGGCGTGGTGGAGACATCATGTTGGCGGTGCAGGAAGCGGTGCTACGGCTTAAGTTGCTGGGGTACCCTGTTGCGCGTCTTCACTCAGATAGATAGAGGTTCGGAGTTTGCTTCAAAAGGGCTACGCAAATGGCTGTTGGACCGAGACATTTACCATACCCGGTCGGAAGCTTTAGTTCCCCAGACCAATGGTGCTGCTGAACGTGGAGTACGATGGTTCAAGACGATGGCCAAGGTCTTGATGGCGGAGGCTGGTGTGGGAACGAAGTTTTGGACTTTGGCGATGCAGCATGCAGCCAATCGGAGGATTTATGAACGGCTGGGAATTGAAAGACCCAAGCTCTTGAACTTCGGAGCCAAGGTGATGATTCGGAGGAAGGTGTTCGGCAACAACAAAAAGTTTGACCTCACTGACCGCTGGGAGGAGGGCACCTACCTGGGGCTTTCAGATACCATCAAAGGCGGTGCTATAGTTCTTCGTCCAAGCGGGGTTATCACGGAGACCTTGAACCTGAAGTTGGACGTTGTGGATCCCCATGTGCTGCTGGCGGAACCGCCCGAGTCCGAGAAGGACGAGGGAGTTGGCGTGGGTGAAATGGGAGTTAAAGTGGTTCCAGTGGTGGATCTTCCAGATCCTGCGCGGCGACTTCGTGAAAAATCCTCTCCTCCACAACTACGAATGATGAGTGTACGGGAGCAACATGAACTACAACCAAAGAAGAAGCCTGGAGGCTGGACTATAAGGTCGATGGTTCAGCAACAAGAGGAAAGGGCTTAAGCACTTCTATAACATGGGGAAGTTCGATTTGGAGTCCTGCGCAGAAGTTCTTCGTGAAGTTCAATTGGGAAAGAGCAAGTACCAAACCCGCGGCGAGACCTCAACCTTGGTGCTTGGGGCATATGTTCATGGGGGCATGCGTGGCGCAACCTTGGCCTCGAGAAAACGGCCCTGGCTGACAAGCTATTTGAATATGGTCTTGGGGCAGCGAACAGTGGAGACCACAGGAAGGGAGCCGGCGTGGACAACGTTGGGTGTGTTCAAGGCCAAGGACATTCCTCCACACCGGGATCTTCGAAATCAGCCCGGATCAGAGAACTTCGTAATGGAAGTGAGTGACAAGGAGATCGGTGGCTTGTGGTTGTCTACAGATGATCAAGGTGAGGCTTCAGATGGGTTTCATGGTGTTCCTCTTCGGCGAGAGTTTCCGGATGGTTCTGTGAAGGAGGGAATGATCATGGATATTACTGAGCGGGTGGCTGTGTTTGATCCAAAGAAGACGCACTCCTATGTCAACGCCGAGGGAAGCGAGAGGTGGATCATTGCAGGCTTCACGCCCCTGGGTGTGGAAATGCTGCAGCCGGAGCCACTGTCCTTCCTGAACATGTGCAAGTTTCCCTTGGACAGAACGGGGTTGGAGGTGCATACTGTACAAGAACATTCCGTGGAAGGCTTTGCTTCAACGTCAGAGTTGTCTGATGATGATGATGATGATGGACTAGATGAAGACGAGTTGGAGCAGAAAGCCAGGGTGCTTCGGTGCGCACTTCAAGAAGAACAAGATTGTCCAGGAGATGTTGCAAGGGAGGAGGGCTTTCAGCAGAGGTTGGAACACAATCTTTGGGAATGTGAACGAGAACTTCATTGGTTCGAAAGCAGGGCCAGGCGAAGGATCATGAAGGTGTCGCCGGGAGAAGCAAAGGATGTTGAGGTCGAGAGACTGTTGGATGCTTTGGTGGTACCTCCGGAGGTGGTTCACAATGTAAGCTTGCCGGAGATCAAGAAGTATCTGGACAGGTGGAAGCCGGCAATCCTCAAGGAAGTTGCGGCGCTGATTGATTCGGGAACAGTGAGAAGGCTTACCCCGGAACAAACGAAGGAGCTGAAGAAGGATGGCCTAATCGTGCTTCCTGGCAAAGCCGTATTTACGGCAAAACCGCCAACCGAAGGGGCAAAGGGAGGCGAGCGATTCCGGAGGAAATGCCGGATAGTTGTTTGCGGCAACTTTCTACCGGACCGCGAGCTCAACGTCTACGCTTCTGGCACAAGCTCGGATTCGCTGCGCATTGCGGTGGCCTACGCGGTGAGGAGGTCATGGACGGCAGGGTGCACAGACGTGTCCAATGCTTTTACGCTGGCTCCTATGTCAACGGATAGATTGTATGCAGTCTCGCCTCCTACCATAGTGCTGCTAGCAGGAGGAGCTGTTCCTGGTGAGACCTGGCTCATAGAACGGGTTTTGTACGGGCTGAGAGAAGCTCCGCGATTATGGGGATGCTTTAGAAACGAAAGGCTGGCCACAGCTCGAATTGAGTATGACGGTAAGATCATCGTGCTGCGCAGCCTTACTACCGACGAGAACATGTGGAAGCTATGCGTAGAAGATGACGAATCACAAACTCCCTTGGGCTTAATGCTGGTGTACGTCGATGATATCTTGATATTGTCGATCAAGGCCCTTGTGTTGACCGTGTACCAGTGGTTGATTCAAGACTGGAAATGTTCAGCGTTGGAATGGATCGATGAAGGGTACATACGGTTTTTGGGCATCGAGCTTCGAGTCTGTGGAGAAGGGGTTCACCTATCGCAAGCAGGTTATGTGCGTGATCTTCTACGTCAACATGGAGTACCAGAGCAGCCGGAGGCTGGACTGACAGTGCCATGTCAGCGAGAGTGGTTGCAAGATGATTCAGATGAAGAAGCTCCAGTTCCTGATGAAGCAGCGGTGAAGATGGCTCAGAAAGCGACCGGGGAGGCCTTATGGTTGTCGACGCGGTCGAGACCGGAGCTCACGCACGCTGTGGCATGCATGGCATCATATGCACTACGACGCCCGCTCAAATCGCTTGAGATCAGCAAGCGCATCCTGAAGTACCTGGCTAGAACAGTGGACTATGGCATATGGTACCAGATGGTTAAGGATGATCCGTTGCTGGTTGTGTACTCGGATGCGAGCTATGCGCCAGGAGGAGGTCGAAGCTTTGGCAGTACGATGGCTCAGGTTGCTGGAATGCCGGTGGCCTGGCGCTCTGCCAAACAGCCGGTGATCACTCTTTCAGTGGCAGAAGCGGAGCTCTACGAGGGCATCTCAGCGGTTCAGTTGGGTTTAGGCGTGGGGGCTATGCTGTCTGAGCTTGAGGAGTGCGGGGTCATGCACTTGCGCATCGACAATGCTGCGGCTCAGGGTTTGGCGAGTGAGGCTCCGGGGAGCTGGAAAACACGTCACCTTAGGGTGAGGGCCAGATACCTACGACAAGAAGTCTCGGCTCAGCGTTTGGTGATTTCGCATGTGTGTGGAAGCGAGCAGAAGGCTGACCTGGGCACCAAGGGTTTCGACCTGCCGAAGTTCAAGATGCTCATGGAACTATGGCGCATCATTCCATGCACTGCTGATGGTGTTGCGAATGTGGCGGTGAAGTCGCTAAAGATTGCCAATGGCAAGGGTGTGCTCATGTTCATCCTGATGTGTTTGCTTCTAGTAAAGGGTGTAGGAGGCCCTAAAGAAGACCTATCTTTGGATGGTTCGTTCGAGTTCTACGGCGTGGCGCTGATCAGCTTGATTGCGGGTGTTGCCGTATGGGAATGCATCAAAGGGATGTGGGGAACGGCTACCAAGTGGTGGAGTGCTTCTCAACGCAAGCAGAAGCGGCTGGAGCGACTTCGTGAACGTGCCCAGATAGCAGTCCAGGAGGAGTTTGGTCGTTATGAGGATCAAGCATCAAGGGCGAGAACAGCGATGTCGAGCACACCGCCAAGGACGAGAACAGCGATGCCGAGCACACCGCCAAGTACGGGAACAGCGATGCCAAGCACACCGCAGAGGACAAGAACGGCTATGGCGAGTTCTTCAAGACAGTCATTTAATCCGGTGAAGACGAGTGGCTATGAGACTCGAGGAACGCAGACTGATCCTGGTCCTCCGATGATTCCGGCGAACAGGTTGGCAGCTTACACGGGGCCATTCTACATTACGCCGCATGAGGACAGGATCCACATGACCAGCTACTGTCATGGGCAGCGGAATGCTGGTGCAGCGTCGAAGCGATACGACCTGTGCCACTACTGCGACAGAGCGAGGGGACTCTATGTGTTAACGCCTCCCGAAGAAGGCTGATCGTAAGCCGAGGAGGAGTGCAAGAGTTCAGCTCAGTCGTGCGTGTGGACAGACATGTGCAGTGTAAATGACAAAGTCTTCCGAAAGTAGAGCAGAGTGCTAAACATGTACAACCGACGGCATGGCTCAAGTGCGTGAAAAAGACGCCTCAGTTCGATCGAGGTAGTGGTTGCGACGTTCCTTTCGGGGTTCATGGAGGCTGCTACTTCAGGGGATTCCGTTCGTGATGAGGACCCCTTCAGAGACCTTCCTGCTGAGTATCAGCAAAACCCTAAACCCGAAATCCCAAACCCTAAACCCCCACAGAGAACCCTGGGCTCCGGAGAGGAGTTCGGTGCTTAGGGTCTAAGAGCTTCAAGGTTCCGGGCAGTTTCGAGCACCACCCAGCACATGTTAGGCTTGGTGTCAGCGTGCCCTCGACCTCAAGACCAAAACGCTCCCGCAGGAACCCAGCAGTCATGATGTGGGTGGTTGTCAAAATTAGGGTCCTTTTTGGGTCCTTATTATAATACGGCACCTAGTATGTAGGGTACCCAAAAAGGGACCCTAATTTTGACAACCACCCGCGTGAATGCTCTAGAAAGTGAAAGAAGAGTGCTCGAAGGTTCATACGCAGTTGATTGCAGCTGCCACATCACCAAAGGTGGGTGGCCGTATTATAATAGGGACCTAAAAAGGGACCATAATTTTGACAACCACCCAGGTGTCGGAATCCTCGCCCCGGGAGCCCACAAGTGGGTGAACCCTGCAATGCAAAATGAACATGTACAGTAAAAGCCAGAAAGTTGGAATATGAATATCCTAACCCTTCTATGGTAAATGATAGGGTATCCTACCATTAAACCATATTCCAACTTTCTGGAGTTCCCTTTAACCCTTCTTACTCCTGAACCCGAGCCCCCCATCCGACTCTATGTTCCTCAATCTTGACCCCCCTTAAACCAAAGAAACCCTTAAAACGGTTCAGGGTTTAGGGTTTAGGATTTAGGGTTCCTAAACCCTAAACCCTAAATCCTAAACCCTAAACCCTTAGTCAAACCCCAAAGCCTTAAATCCGGTGCTTAACGGAACCCCAAACCCGGAGAAGGAGACCCCCCAAAACACTCAAAAATTCTGAACCGTAAAAACCCCAAAGTGCCACTTTCGTCTCCTTGTAGATAGTGCACCCTAGACAAAACCCTAAACTATACACCCCCTTAGAACCCAGAATCAAAATTAGATTGTTAATATTCTCTTGGGTTTTATATGAACAAAAATAAATATAAAAAACAATTCGAGGGAGACCATAGTAGACACTAAACCCAAAGTCTTCACCCAAAAGACGGCCTCGAAGACTTGACCGGCTGGGCCACTTCCGGGGCCGAAGGACAAGACATTGAATCCTGCTTGGAGCTAAATTCAATTTAGGAGCTTAGTCTCCTGGGGAATTCTTCTACATGTTAGTCTCCTTGGGAATTATTCTTTATGCTTTTGTTCATATAAAACCCAAGAGAATATTGAAAAGATTATGTTCAATATGGTTCTAAGGGTGGTATAGGGAGGATCATGGGGCTTCGTAAGGGCTCAAGGCTTTTCTACGTGAGTCTCGGGATCCTAAAGGCTATTCGGTCAGGGTTTGGTTTAGGGTTTAGGGTTTCGAGTTTGGGGATTCGGGTGTCGGGTTTAGGGATTTTTACGACCGCCATGCGCCACCAATGCTGTTATGGTAAAGGGAAAATCGTCGTGCAAAGCGCGTAGGCGCTGCCGCCAAGCGAGCGGAGTAGCTGGGGTGTTTCTGAAGGTACTGCTTCAGACCCAAGAAGTCTACTCTTAACTGGGAGGAGTAGCCGGGCTGTGTTTTGACGTCCTGTTGGAAGAACTCCAAAGCTTTATCCGATACTAATCCTAGCCAGGGGTTTAGGGATTAGGGTTTAGGGTTTAGGGTTTAGGGGTTTAGGGTTTAGGGTCTACTTCGAGGGTCATGGCACCTAGTAAATAAGCTTATAGATACTTTAATTGGAGTTATAAGTAGCTATAACTATAGTTACCTTATTTATTCCCCCAGGTACTACAGTAAACCCCATAAAGTTGGAAACCGGATTGAGGCCAAATAGTGCTAGGATTCCCTATACATTACTCTTAGGGATCGAGGCTATTGGGTTTCCAACTTTTGGGCTTCTACTGTAAATCCCATGATCCTCTAAGTGCTCGGGAGACGAATCATTAGGTTTGTGGCTTAAGGTCTAGGGCTTAGGGCTTAGGGCTTAGGGTTTAAAGGTTTAGGGTTTAGGGTTTGGGGTTTGGGGTTTAGGGTTTTGAAGTTCCTGGCGACTCCAAAATCCCCTTAATTGATGCATCTACCTTAAATCATCGTAGGATCCTCATGTTCTGTTGAAGTATATTCCTTAATTAAGGGATATTGGAGTCTCTGGGTTCCTTCAAGGGTTCCAGACGGGTGCTCTGGTCTTTAGGGCTTTGGCGTTGGGCATGGGAGGTACCGGGTCATAAAAATCCAGCAGTACTTTCCGATTCTACAAGAGTCCCGTACCTGAAACTCCATACTACTCCTCCCAAGCTTGAGGCCTTTGGAGGGTTTAAGGCCTAGGATATGGAGTTTGGAGTTGAGGGTCTACGGGGCTTGAGGTTTAGGGCTTCCAAGTTCTAAGGTCAAGACTTTAGGCTCATGATGCTACAGCGCCGGGCTATGGGCTGTCAGGGCTATCTTTGTCGGAATGGCAACGACGTGGAGCATCAGCAGCAGCAGCAGAAGCAGTAGTAGTAGTAGTAGTGGGCTTTGCGAGCACAGCTTCTGAACTGGGTTGGGCATGTGTTCGCCTGGGCTGGTGGCAGTAGTAGTAGTAGTAGTAGTAGTAGTAGTAGTAGTAGTAGTAGTAGTAGTAGTAGTAGTAGTCAGTCGCAGACATTGCCGGTACTCGGCTGGTTGTTGTCGCGGTGTACCAACACGCTTGGTCTTCTGCCAAGACCATCCAGTCCAATAAGGATGACCGTGCTAAGGTACTATCCGTCATGTCCAAGGTGATCAAGCAGGTGCCTAAGAGGGACTCCCTTATTGTAGCAGGTGATTTTAACACTTCCCTGCGTCCGAGCCCTCCATTGGTGGGAACGCACGTGAAGCCACCCACTGAGGACCGCCCTGACGAATCCAACTTGTTTAACCTGCTGCTCAGGTTGCGTTTGGTTGCCCTTAACACCTGGCAATGTGACCATATAGCCACCTTCTCACAAGGAGGAGTGGAGTCGCAAATTGACTTCATTTTAACCAAAGAATCTACGGCGGGAGGCAAAGCAAAAAGGTCAGCCCCCTGGGTGGACTGCCCGTTGGGAAGCTGGAAGAAAGGAGGGCATTACCCGCTTAAAGCTGACGTACCCCTCCAACATCACTGGCTGCTCCCATCCCATAAGCTCAGCACGCGCCGTTACGATTCACTAGCTCTACAGGCCTCGGTCAGAGAGGAGGACGAGACGGCAAAGGCACTGCACAGCTGGATAGCTTCCAGAATTGACACCTGCCAGGACCCCAAGGCATGGAATGCGTTGCTTTTGGAAGGTGCAGAACGCTTTTTTCCAAAAATTCCCAAACGAAGACCGATCCCGCTGGAGTTGGAAACCCGTCGCATGTGGCGGGCCCGTACCCATGACAGGGTTGCGAACACAGCTCCCTCAGCACAGCTGATCGAGTCACCTAAAGCAATGGCACAGCCTCCTAATCAGAACACGCCACGTCCGCCGGACACCGAAGCTGAGCTGGCGCAAGTGGCACACCGCCAGGCTGTGAAACAAGCAAAGAAAGATAGGATTGCGAGTTTCATATCGGAGGTGGACGCGAGTCTGGCTGAAGGTGACCAACATATCTCCTTTCAGACCCTCAAAAAGCTGCAGCCTTGGCAGCCTGCGCGCAGAGCTCAGCTAAAGGACAACACAGGACATTTGCTGGGTCCAGCGCAGGAGCTAGCAGCCCTCAGGGACTATGCAAATCAGGTATTTGCGGCCCACCCTCCGTTACGGACAATGCATGGAGCTTTCCCTGTTTTGGAGCCGCCCAAACTAGCAGCTCACATACATTCCATCAAGCCTAATAAAGCTGTTCCTGACGGAGCGGCACCTGCGGCTGTGTGGAGACTGTGTAGCGACATCGTTGCACCGATCCTCTCAAAACACGTAGCATCCAAGCAGGCCGAGGACAGCCTTGAATCCGACCTCGTAGACGCTGATCTCTGCTTAATTCCCAAGCCGGGCAAGCCCTCTGACAAACCAGCGAACTTGAGACCCTTGGGCATCCTTAGACCTGACGCTAAGGGACTGGCGGGAGCGGCCAGAGAAGCGCTTCAGCCACTGACCCTCTCGTTCCTCAAGCACATGCCACAGTTCGCTTATCTACCAGGTCGGGGGCTGTCAGACGCGCTAGAACGCGTGGTGCATCACTTGCGTGAGGCTCGATCCCTGTTAGAACAGGCTCACCCCACGAGACATGCCTTGCAACAAGGCACACAGGCCCCAGGCTTAGTTGGCGGCCTCACCTTTGCTCTTGACCTAAGCCAAGCGTTTGACACAGTCTCTCGCCAAGAGATCATCGACCTTCTTCAGAGAGAAGGGGCCGATCAGGACACAGTCCACCTCGTTCAGGCTCTGCATGACGGGTCTCGTTATGTCCTTCACGCGCAGGGAGATTCCACCTCTGTTGAAACCACAGCAGGCATAAAACAAGGATGTAAGCTCGCCCCCACACTCTTCTCGTTCCTTACAGGTGACC